ACAAGGCATCAGTAGGTCTTAAAGCTACCCAGAGGGTTCTGATTGGCAGTCAAGGTATGCAAGAAATACTGCATGTAAACATTTAAATATCACATTTTAAATTTCTATAAACTGTTCCAGTAAGTGAATATAATTTCTATTCCAAGCCCCCATTACACTAGGTTTGTCATTCTTAGGATTCAGCCTCTCTACCTGCCCCAATCTGTCCAATGCTTGTGTGAAGATTTTGAAGCTTGCAGGATTTGTCCACACTGGTTAGCAGGCCCCACCCAGATATCAGGAAAACACTATGCTGATCCTGTAGCCCTGAATTCAGGGATGTGCTTGGATCAGGCTGTAATCGTCAGAAGAATCTGAAAGGAGAAGATATTTATGCCTGAATATCCATGTACCCAGCAATCATTATGAAATGTTAAGTTTCTATGTGGCTCAGATGGAGGAGGGCTCTTGCAGGCAGCTCCACTTTCCCTATATAAGGCTGATCCTAGAGAAAACTGGGTATCTTCCAAAAGATATCTTCATTTCTTATGATATGCCCCTCACTCATTCAGACAGGATCACCCACAACTGTGCAACATGCTGGTGAGGCTTCAGGGCCACCAAACTATACATTTGTGTGCTGATCTCCCCACACGTGTCCTGGGCTGGATTTTTTGTTTTGTTTTGTTTTGTTTTGTTTTGTTTGGCATCCTTTAAATATGCAATCATTGTTTGATTTGCTCAGGAGGTACGTGTGTCTGGTCTTACCATCAATACCCACTGCTGCCATCTGTCCATACAATGATGGTGCAAGCCTTCTAAAAACTCCTGGATCAAGTCAAAAGGAGATAAGTCCTGCTTTTTTCTTGAACATAATAGGTGTTCAACAAATGCTGGTTGAACTAAGGACTCTATCCCCTTAAGACATCAACAGGCTGTGGACAAGGCATTGTGGAAACAAGGCACAGAAAGCCACTCAAATACACCCAGGTAAAAAGCAGACAAGGGAACAGATCTCATGGAAATCTCATGGAAACAAAGCACAGAAAAGAGAGCTGAGCCTCACAAGTCAACGAGCAACTGCTGTGCCTCCCTCCCTCTGGGGGATGACATGACTTCATGCTCCTATTTGTGCTTCACTTCTCCTCTGTCCACCTTGGACATTGGCTCCACTGGCACAAAGCCCACTCAGATCGCCCAATAAACGTGGCTTCTGCTTACTGCTTGGAGAAAGTTTAGTGACTCACCTTGGGGGAAGCAGGGAGCTACCACCATATGGTTGGTATAACAGCCTCATCTGGGGCTGGTGCAAAGGACTGGGATCACCACTACCAATGATAAACACAAGCCCTGCTGAGTCAAGGGATACCCCCAAGAAAGCAAAATTCATGCATAAGTATTAGTCATAACAAACTTTATTTCAGAATGTCTACAGGACTGTATTTCATAACTATACTATTCATTTATAGCTCTAAATCACAATAACATTGAATCAAAAATACTTAATAATGCACAAAAACGTGGCCTGAGAAATGTTCATTTGAATTTAATTTATTTATGTTTCACATTATACAACTGTACATATAAAAACACTAACACTATGAAGGGAAACAATGGCTTCTAGATCAAAAGAAAGCAGGTGTAGCAACACCTCACTTACCTGGCAGTCAAAGATTTGACAACTGGAGTTGAGGGTCAGGAAGTTACGGTAAAAGAACATCACCAAGTCAAGGCAGCGAAGTTCATTCATTTCACTGTCCTCAGAAAAAAGCCTCTCAAACCCCATTTAGGTCCTGTTTACTGTGACTGGACAGGTAGTATGCAAAGACATGATTTCCCAACCCCATAAAGAAGGAGACAAAGGTTCCAAGAGGTAGGCAAGAGTAACCACAGAGAGAAAGGACAACGGGTCACAGTGAGTGAAGAGACACTGCAAAAACCACTGCAGATGTCAAAGAGCAGAGCCATTCACGGTAGGGGCTTTAACAAACCCAGATAGGTCCTGAAAGAGGGAAAACATACGTGATGACCTTAATTTTTTTCCTTAGTTTTAGTAGATTGCTCGTGAAAGCAGGGAAATGTATACTAAATTAAGTGTTACAATATAAATGATTAAAATAAAACAGACAAAAAAAAAAAAAAAGATGTGCAGCTTAAAAGAATAACCTTGACATGTCTATACGATGCACCTTACACTGTCTGAAAAAGGGATACTACTACACATACACTGCTTATAAAATACACACAGCAATTTATATAAAAAGAATAGAGCACCCTTTTTTATCCACATGACTGAAATCATAAAAGCCCCTTCATGGTAAAAGCACCTTAATCACATATAGCTAAAGTTAGCTTACCTCAGCATAAGAACTTTATGTGGTATCCCGAATGGTCAGTTGTACGGATCAGTGGGCCCAATGGACTGCAAAACCTTTTTCCATGATGGGAGACATAAAGGGCAAAAACGCTGCCCCAAAATCAATGTTTCTCAAAACATGGTCTGTGGAACAGCATGGCTGAATCTCCTGGTGAAATTGCTTTAAAATATAGATCCCCTCAGTCCCAAATGAGGTTTCATGAATCAGAATCTTTGGGGGAGGGCCTGGGAACCTGCATTTAGCACACCTCCCTCTGAGGATTTCTGGTACAAGGAGAAGTGTGGGAATCACTGTATAAAATCACTGCCTTGGGATTTAGCCACAGCCACACCCGGTCAGGAGACTGGCTGGGTCTGTGAACTAACCCCTTCCCACGTGTGTTCCTAATATGCCCGGTAAGGCAGCACTCCAGATTTTGACATTTCTGAAGGTTTTCTCACAGGAAAAGGATTCTGATATATTATAAAAAATAAACTCTAACAAGCTCTAATGAATGTTAAAAAGAGCATAAGAATTCTAAGCCATATATGTGAAGCTTGAAGCAATGCATGCCTGCAGAAGGCTTAAAAAAAAACAAAACAAAACACTGAGTGAGGACAAGTGTCTGAAACAAGTCCACAGGATTTCTTGGGAATGGGGGAAAAATACATCTCAGAGTAATCCGGGAAAAGAGGCAGAATGCAGCTTCCATCCAGAATGGGGAAATGCACATCGATTAAAAATTGGCTGGGATGTTTAGGCTGGGCCTTAACACTCTGGAGGCAGAGGCTGGAAACTACTGGAAAACATGTTTTGCTTGGCCAGTACAATGTTTTAACAATGTTCTGAATTACTGCCAGCATGTAAAAATTGGGAGAATTCTTTTCTTTAATAAATCTGTTTTTTCCTATAAAAATGGAAATTAGAGTAACTAGAGAAAACAGCCATGTGGCAACAGTGTGCGAGAACTGGGCAGCAGCTGTGCACCTTCACACAGGCGTGTGTCCCCAGGGTCTCCCAAGGGGCCACTGGCCTGCCTGACTCATCAGATCACTTGCCAGGTCCCCAGTGCCATTTGCATTGGCCACTCTGGTTTCAAGGAATTGGCGAAAATCCAGCCTCTTTCTGCTTCTCTCTTTCAATTTCCTTTTTTTTTTTATGTTTATTCTTTTTTGAGAGAGTGCATGGGATGGAGGGGAGAGAGAGAGAGAAATTGAGAGACTGAGAGAGAGAAAGAGAGAGAGAGAATCCTGAACAGGCTCCGCACTGTCAGTGTTGATGCAGGGCTCAAACTCATGAACCACGACCTGAGCAGAAACCAAAAGTCAGATACTTAACTGGCTGAGTTACCCAGGTACCCCACTTGTCTGTATTTCTAACAAAAATCCTTGCTACAGAGATCCTTTCCTACCTCAGAGGTGTTAAGAAAGAAATAATGTCTGAAAATCACCAAGAATTCACTCTAGTGTTCTCATCTAGTAGTTACATTTTGGAACCACATAGGGAGCTTTAAAAACTATGGGTGCCTGGGTTGCACTCAGAATCCCCAAGATTCTGATGAACATATTGCTCTGGGATGTACCCTTGGCAGCAAGAGCATAAAGCTCCCCAGGTGATTCTAATGAATGCCCAAGGCTGAGAACGCCCGCTTCAGAGGACACAGGTTGTTGGGTAGGATGTATTAAATTTACTTCAGTGTCATAGGGATTTCTAATCTCTCACCTCTGTGATCATTTACATCGCCTCTTATTTTTTGAAATGGGCTATTATTCCAAAAGCCTACCAAATGCCACTGACAAACTGGAAAAGGAAGTCAAAGTTCTGTTCTGGTTTCTACCATTCATTTTCTCTCCAACACACCTGAAGAATGAGCCGCTAAGAAAATGAGGAGAGATTATCCTAAGAGACAGAACTCAAGCAGCACAAACAGCTCAAATCCAGTAAGAAGAGGCTCACTGTGGCAGGCTTCTATAAAAAATAAAATTGCTTTGATAGTGATCACTGCACTAAGTGGAAAAATTCTCAGATATTAAAAAAAAAACAATTTCCCCAAGACTTTCCAGTAATGGGCCAATTTTTATCTTAAGCAGATGAATTCCAAATGACTGCCTCTCTTCAAGCTTCCCATTAGGTAATGCGCACTTATATTTTCGCTTCCAATCACGGCAAATGCAAACTACTGTCACCTAATTTTCAAATAGTAATACTACCTTATATTACATTTGAAAAGTGCACATTCAAAATGGTTTTGCATAGTAATGGCATCTATGTAACAGACTTCTACTGTGCAACAGGCAGCGTACTAGGAACTCTAGATACACAATCTTAAATCGGTCCGACAACCTCATAAAGTTAATTCTGTAACCTCGTTGTACAGTGAAAAAGAAGGAGCTTTGGAAAAACTGAAAATTATGTAGATGATCAATCACTGAGCTACTGGGTGGTAACGTTTGTTCCGTCAAATCCCAAACCTATGCCTTCAATACTGAACTCCCTTCCGTGTCTAATCATCACTACACAGAACGCCTGTGCCCAGGTAGCCCCACGTGCTAGGGAAACACAGAGCAATTCATGATATGTATGCCATATCACACAATGCCAAAGTCACCCCTCCCTTCCTGCTCTCCATCCCATGTTCTTTCAAAAGGCCAAACCACACGGTGGACAGGTTACATCAGAGAAGTTATATTGGTGGCAGTTAGGTGGTACTTATGGGTAGACATCAAATGCTCCCAATTTCTGAGACCCAAACATTACTCTAAATGTAGCTTGGCTTCAACACAGAACTGGTAGATTCTTTTCTACCTATGTGTCAAGTGGCAGTTTCAATTCCTTTATCCATCCCAGGATCTTCTCCTGAAACCCATGAGCAATGAGGCTGATAACATATGGCACTGGCCAGGCCTCCAGCCTGCCCTTGGTTTCCCTGACACCATCACCAGGCCATCAGCAGGAGATCCTGAAAAAGGGCAGACATCACCTTCTATGGATTTTCTCCCCCTTTATTTGTAAATCATAAAGAGACTGTGCCATTCAACTCTAGCTAGAAGTTCTCACGTCCGTGAGTGCCACTATCTGAGGAAGGCTCCCAGGGAAGTGTATCAATTCACATTCTGAAAGGAAGGTCTCCTCTTCTTTAAGCTGCCGACAGTGTATCCGTAAACTTGAATTTCGAAAATTGCATCAGTCATGTGTTGTGGCCAAGAAGCGATTCTTGAGCAAAATAGGACAACACAGGGCCCCTGCAAGAGAAAGCAAGTAGGCTTTATCACCTAATAAACAGATCTCACCAATCAATACTTATTTGCCTCTTTTCTGAAGCAACTCTTAAGAGTCACTTGAATTCTACCACTATGGATAATTCTGGAATAAACTGCATTTCTACCTCCTAATGATCCTCGAACAAAGCTAGCACCTTATTTTATTACCCAGAGGAATTGGTTCAAAGGGGAGTTAAGATACAGCTAAAACAGAGGTCTTAATCATTTGGGCAAGAATGAACTCTGCCGTATGATCAAATCTCACCAAGCCCTGTCTCCCAACTGCCAGTGGCAAGAACAAACAGATGTCAGGGCTATTTGTTTTATTCAAAAATGACAGGAAATCAAAAATCTATCAAACAGCTGCATCAGCAGCAACACTACAAGAATATTGGTTAGTGAGATGTATGCACCTCCATTTTGGCTCATGATAAACTCACCTTCTAAGCTTTCTAATTTTCAAATGCCCACGTGGATACATGGGCCACACAATTCTCGGTACTATCTTTAGGACTGGGCACCATACACAAGGTAGTCACATTCTATGTGATTTTTAGATTATGCAAATGTGAAATATGGTAGGATATAAAAACGGTAAATAATGTCTCCCTATGAGGGTTCACACAAACCCCGTGGAATGTTTTGTGTGTTTTTTTTTTAAGAACTGCAAAATTCCAAAGCTGATAAACTGAGTACACTGACCGTACCCAGCACCTAGACCACTGCCATCACAGCACTGCTCCTTTATCTGCTACACAGAATGCTTACATATTGACTCCATTATGCACAGGCGTTGGAACTTCATGAGCAATTGTCATGATCACCACTGCTGGTATTTTAACTTCGCTGCTGTGATAATTTCAGTGCTTTTCTATGCCTTAAAATAAAATCAGCTGAGTGGTGTTGTTAAAGCTAATACAGACTAAATATATCATCACAGTATTAACTTTGGAATATAGGTAATATGTAATCAAATGCAATGTAAAGAAGGCTAAACAACCACTACCAGGCTCCCTGGTCTTAATTTAGGAGAAGGCACGCTCACAACCTACAGGACAGAAAGCTTTTTCTTAAAGGACAATAAATATTTTAAACTTTGCTGGAGAATGGCTCTCTATTTGCTGGAGAATAGCTCTCAGCTATTCACTCTGCTGTTGTAGCTATAACAAAGCCAAGGCATAGCTGTGTTCCGATAAAACTTTATTTACAAAAGCAGATAGCAGGTTGGATTTGGCCTGAGGGGAATAATTGAATGACCCTACTTCTACGGCCTTAGCCCTGAAACCTGCCCCCTTCCTTTTAATGTGGCATTTTATTGCTCATAAAAACAGTAGTTCCCCCAACGTGCAAACATTCTCCCATTTTCTGTAGAGCCAATTTTGAAAACAGAAGTTACATTCAAACGGGCACATTTCAAGCTTGCCAAAACTTTGTAGTAGTCAAGAAAAAAAGGGAAGCAACAAGCTGGAAAAACGTAGCACCACAGAGCCATAAAGTGTTGTATGTCAAGATTTTTGTGATGCTTGCTTACGTGACTACATATATTTTCAAAACTCACCAAACTGAACACTTGGAATTGGCCAACTTAACTGTACATAAATAATACTTTAATGAAGTCGGTATTGGGAAAAAGCTTAAAGCCTCAGCCACAGGCTCTAATCTGCAGTAACTGTAGATTCATGTGGTAAAAGTATATTCCCCTTACTGTCCATTTACTGCCCTGAGGACCTGATCATGGGTTACAACAGTCGGTATTAGGTAAATCCTTCAAAAACTCTGTTGCACTAAATGCCCTGAGTGCAACTGTCCTTCACTGAACTCTTGGTAGTAGCCAGACCTCTACCACCTCACTTGAAAGGGAAGAGCAAGTCGCTTTTAGAAACAATACAGAGCTCGGAGTTCATGGCTAGCTTTCAGCCACAGGAAAAACAAAACAAGGGAACCAACAAGAACATAGGTGTTTGTGACAACACGTGAGGCTTTTTTAATTTGCCAATTTCACGAACAACATTTTAAATAAAAAACACAAGTTAGCGTGAGTCTCTTTTCAGTGGTCTTTACACCAGTGTGGAGCTTGTCAATATTTAAGCAGGGGGAAAAAAAACCAGTTAAACAAGGGGCTGAGACACTAAAACCAGGGAAAAACCACGTAAGAAAAATCATCCCTCTGATTAATCTAAAGTCAATAGACTGCATGACAACAATTTCAAAACCCTAGCTATTAGCTTCCTCGGTGCCCTTATATTTAATCCATCTTCATGCAGAGATGAGACCTCATTTAGAGCAATTGTTCTCAGAGTGTGGTCCCTGGACCAGCAGCAGCAGCAGCAGCAGCGGCACCTAGGAACCTGTTAGAAACACAAATCCTAGGACCGCACCCCAGACGTACTGATGCAGAAACCCCGAGATTGGGGCCAACAATCTATGCTTAACAAATCCTCCAGAGGATTCTGATGTTTCGTGATGCTCCAAAATCATTAACCTGAAGTTTGAAAATCAATGTATAGTTATAAGTGGAGTCCCCTCCCAGTCTCTCATTTCACTTGGAGCTGACTTTAGATCCCGCCCTCCAGTGTAAGTTGGGATCTGCGCCCAAGTGCATGAGCAATACAGGTACTTGGTGAGCCTCACAAAAATGCTTCATAAAAATGTTCTCCAAGAGCAGAGTGGATATAGGAACACACCATATTTAGATTCCATTTCAACATTTTTTGAGCACCTGCCATGTGCCGTGCTTGTGCTAAACGGAATTATCATATTTAGCCTCCCCAGTAATGAATAAATCTATTCATAGATCTGGCCAGCATGCACTCGATGCTGAAATGCTTGTACATAAATGTTCATTTTGCTTTTTCTTTCATTAATTGTTCTCAAACTTTATGGGAGATCACAATTAGAGTCCAAGATTGCTTTTACAAAACCAGGGGTCCTACAATTTGAAGTCAATGTAAGGGAAATTTGGGGTAATGATGAATTACCCAGGACAGCGTTTGCTTTACTCAATGGTTTTACCTTCTCTCACATGTTAAAAATTCAAATCCAATAAATTTGGTAAGATGTAAAGCCATTACGCTCATTTATTTCAGGCTTTGGTTCTCTCTTAAGTAACTCTGTTCTGCCCTTTTCACTATGGAGACCGTTCCTCATGTAGACAATAAAAACTTAAGACAAAAAAATTAAGTAAGTGTAAATTGCCCCTGCCCCTTGTGACCTCGGAGCATTTTTGCTACACTAGAGATGGCATGTGCTCTAGCACTAGTGCTTTCTCCCATCCTCTGCTGAGCCAACATTGCTAATCACTCAAGGCATCCTTAGCCAGAGCCCGATATTATTCTCAAAATGTCAGAATCCTTCTCAATAGCATTTCCGGTGGCCACTGCCAACCCGTGGAAGTATACAAATGACTGATAAAATACATTTATTTCACTGGCCAGTCAAAACACGCCCCTTCCTTGCTTTCCGTTCCACTTCAGAGAGAGCTTTAAGCCCCTCCTTTCATTGTCCCCAGGACAATAAAATTAAGCCTCAGTTAATCCTGAACCCCAGTCTATACACATCTGTGGCAGCTTGCAGGTCATAATCAGGCTGGATTGTACTGAGCGGTTTCAACAACTTGAATGCGGTTGTAACCCAGCACATGGTACAAAGCTGCTCTGAAAATCAAAGAACTAAGGAAATGAAGGTGCTGAACAGGAAACGAAACACCTGTGAGACAGGAGCCTCTGCGTACAACTGGGAAATGTACAGCATGAACAGCCCAGGGAGGCTGACGCACAATACAAGGGCTTAAGAGTCAGAAAACATGGCTGGAGCAAAGAATTCTGATTTTGATTTTGGTACTCACTGGCGGGTCTTTAGTCGGCTAAGGGGGCACCACACTGTTCCTTTAGCAGCATCTCCATTATTCTAATTCCCTAGAGAGAGAAGAAAGAAAAATCAAAATGGCACAAGCACTTTTACATTTATCACAGCTCTTTCCCTCCAAGGAATCCAAGTCATGGCCATGTACTCATTTCTGGAAAGTAGGCTCATGGTCATACCTTATGTTTTTATAATATTTTTCTCACCAAGTTCACATACATTCTCTCTACATGTGCTCAGAAGTACTCGAGGGAAGTGGGCACAGGAGAGTTTAGAATCTCCATTTTAAACATAAGGAAGCAGTCCAAGAGAATGTAAGTAATTTACTGAAAGTGGTCCAGCTGCTGACTGACATTACCAGGGCTGGAATAATAATGGTAATAATTAGTGTTTACTGAGCACTTGCAAATGCATTACTCTGGCTGCTCAGAGTTTCACGAGCACCATCCTGGGCAGTGGCACCATGGACACCCTCCAACCCCTTGGCACCCCTTCCCTACCTGCCAGCACTACAGGCTGCTGATGGCACAGAGCCACCATCTGCCAAAGGGAGCTGCCTAACTTCAGGTCACATCCGCTCTCCAGGGGCAGCCCACATCTAAAGACCGGTGCACACAGGGGTATAAGGGCCCAGCCCTCTTCCCTTAACTCCAGAATGGGTGAAGGGCACTCCGTGTCTAGAAGTCCCCATGGGATCAGCTCAGAGTTTCACTGCAACATCACCACAGTTCAAATTCACCTCCTGTGTAATCCTGTCTCCCCTACTCCCCTGGTAGCGTTGTTCCTGAGGGCCCTGTCTGGAAACCCTCTGCATAAAAGTCTCCATCTCGGAGTCTGTGTCTGGAGCACTGGCCTCGAATGCCTTGTTTAACAGACACAAAACCCCAGAACAAGTACAATTTTTACTCCCATTTTACAGATGAAGAAACACTAACTCCAAGAAGTTTAGGTAATTTTCCCAAAGTCATACATCTGTTGAGCAATAAAGCAGGGAAAGAACATGGGCACTCTATTCGGGCTTCAGAGTCTGCCCTGACTCTTGCCATGTACTCACTCTATGACTGGACATGCCGATCTGTCACCTACCTGCCAGTCAAAATCTACCCTGGAACAAAGAGGAAAGCAGATAGTCCCTCCTTCCTCCTTCAAGACCAAGTTCTGCAGACCAGAGGATAATCTTCAGATAGAAGGACAGGGTGATGATGTAATTACGTACTGAGGTTTTAAGGAAGTCAGAGCTGGATCTGGCAGAATGGAAGCCACTGTTGTCAGAGACGGGAAAGTACTTTACAGGGAACAGTAATGACCCACGCTAACTTAAAACACAGATCCCCAGGCCCCTCCCAGAAGACTCTGATTTAACAGGACTCAAGCAGGCCCCAGAGTTCTGCACCTTTAACACGCACCCACATGATTCTCATGATTAGGCAGGTTTGGAGAACACTGAGTGAGCTACAAGAGAAAGACAGGGGCTTCCTACCAGGGATTCATTCTGCACCACGGCAAGGGGGTGGGTGGGGGGGCTCTAGAGAAGACCATAAAATATACTGAGTACAAAACAAAATGTAACGTTTCCTTGTGGTTTCAAATGTCCTTTACATCATAACCAGCCATTGCCACAAACACTGCCACTGTCCTGCAAGAAAGAAGCATCAAAGGACGCTGACGGAATCCTGAGGAGCACAGGGCGGGGTGAACCAAAGCAGCAAGCCGCAAGACCAGACGCACTGCTATCAGGGTGGAGCGAGGGGAGTCCTGGGCACAGCCCTGCCAGGAATTCTGCTGGGTACCTTAGGTGAGTCACCTTTCCCAAGGAGTAACTGAGACGGGACAGCTCAGGGGAGGGCAAGGCTGAACGGGGAGCGCAGCTGTGCACCAGGAACTGGTAGGGGAACTCACAGAGGCACATATGGGTCCCCAAGCCCTGATGAGACCCACACAATTTCCAGTTGTGGTTCTGAAGCACAACTGATTCACCCACTAGAACTTGTAAATGGCAGGCTGACATCACCTCCAAGATCCTTTCCAGCTCTGCCAGTCTGGGGATGGATGGAATGGTCCTCCTTCGTCATTTTGGAAGACAAGGTACATGCTGTAGTCCTACAAAGAATCAGAGGGGAAATGAAGGAAGAGGGGTGGGGTGAAACCACCAGTGGAATGAAATGTAATTGAATTCTTGCCCTAAGATCTGAAGTGCACTCATGTCTACTCTTATTCGCTCATCAACAGATCCACTCAGCAAATATTACGCACCTACTGTGTGCACCAGAGATTAAATAGTGAACCAATGAGACAAAGCCCCTGCCCTCATGGAGCATACAATCTAGTTGATTTTATTTCCCTTACTTCTGTTTATTTCAGCAAAACCCTAAACGATAATTAAATGCCTTGCTTCCATTTTCAGGAAGAATAAAAACAGCCACAATAATTCCATTTCAACCATCTTTTGGCAGAGTGGGCCCATAAATCTGGTGGTGTGTCTTTAAAACCAGAAAAGCACACTCCCTCCTTAGGAAGTGAGCGCTTGTGAACTCTCCCCATCTGTCTAAATTAAGAACACCACCACTTACTGAGCTGAACACTAATTGACATAAGTGAAGACTTTGAGGTTTGCCTTGGGAATTGAAAGACGTTATTTATTGAATCAATTACATTCACAATGTGACAGTTGATTTTTCTTTCTTGTTTTTCCCCCTCTCTCATACCACTTTAGTCTTTTTAAGCAGAACAGTTAGAAATAGAAGGTGGAGAACAGGGGCAGAGAGAGAGACCTATAAAGTGAAATTAAAAAAAATAAAAATCTAACAGGGAGGCCAAACCATTATTTAGTACCTCTCTTTAGAAAGGAGGGACCAAATAAAAGCCCAATCGATAAGAGTCCTTTCAAATAAAGTTCCAATGCTTAAAACTCAACCCCTAGGAGATCAGGCTTAAAGAGGCTAAATTTACACCACTTACCACACAATGATGCCTGAAATGCAGAACACACATTAAGTGGATCCACCTTTATAGAGATGGCTTAAAAGCTTTTTGGACTGGCAAACCATAAACCAGCATGATTTTATTATTCCTTCTATCCCCTCTGAGATTTTTTTCCCTCTCTATTACAAGGCTCTCAACTCACCCAGCACCTCCTCAGAGACTCCCCTGACTGGCCTAGCTCAAACAGCCTGGCACAGGATCTGGAGCATGGCTTGATCCTACCGTCTTGATAGCATTCATCACTATAAAAAATTATCATGCTTTTTAAAATATTTTGTACTGTCGGGGCACCTGGGTGACTCAGTCAGTTAAGTATCCGACTTCAGCTCAGGTCATGATCTCATGGTTCATGAGTTTGAGCCCTACATCAGGCTCTGTGCTGACAGCTCAGAGCCTGGAGCCTGCTTCCAATTCTGTCTCCCTCTCTCTCTCTGCCCCTTCCCCACTCAAGCTCTCAAGCTCGATCTCTGTCTCTCTCTCTCTCTCAAAAATAAATAAAAATTAAAAAAAAATTTTGTACTGCCTGCCACTCCCCTGCCCCCAACAGAAAGTAGGCTCCAGGAGATGGAAGAGACACCTGGCCAGTGGGCATCATCTATAAAAAAAGGAAAGGGAGGAATTTGAATGCAGTTTTCTCATCGAAAGGTAAGAAAAACACTGCTCAGAGCTTCTCTAGGAAGACATCTTTTGCCCAAGAGAGTATCTTTTAATCTGATGTTGGTTAATTCTTCTTTATATAGGACTTCCTCATCTATAAAACTGAGATAACATCAAACAATAATAATGGTCAAAATTACTGGTACATACTGTATGCTGAGCACAGTGCTGAGTGCTTTACCTGCCCCTGGCTTTGTTTATTCTATCTGCCTTAGAGGATTATCATCTTTTTTTTTTTTCAGATGAGATTTGAAGCTCAGAAAAATTAAGCATCCAGACCAAAATCACACAGTAACTAAGAAGCAAAGAATCTCGATCTGACCCAAAGCAATCAGGATTGAGGGTCCAGGGTATAGGATGTTTCAAAATGCATGGAAGGCATAAGTGAGACTGTAATATGAAAATGCCTATTCTGATGTTGGGTACACAGCAAGGACTTGTTCTTCCCTTCCCTATTGACTATGTTCAGAAAGCGTGGTAAATAAATCAGATAGTTTAGCCCTGCTCACAAACTACATGGCATGATTCTTAATATATGAATCAATATTTAATCACCTCTACAAATTATTTTAAATACAGTGTTTTTCAAGTAGGAATAGCTGATCACATGTATGACCTCAATACAATTTTCCCATCGTAGCTAATAAACTCTTGAGGAAGATTCATTTTTATTTTGATAAGTAACCCAAAATCCTTATGTGTAACTCCAGAAGGTTAAGGGATACAATAATTCAGATGTCTCTGCTTCACATTATAAACCTTCCTCTCCCCTTAAAGAGAGTATTTAATCTCACAATTGGTAATGGAAAAGAATATATCCCCAAATAATAAAATCCAAAACCTGGAAATGGCATTATATTATCTAGTCCAAAAAGGAAACTCTTAGCAAAGAACTGAAGGTGGCCCATCTGACCTAGACAGGTGTCCTGGGATCAAATATAAGGATGAAAGATTACAAAGTCATTTCCATACTGCCAGTTTTCAAATGAACTCTGACCTGGTATGACTATTTTACTGGATAAAAGGCATTTAGTCATTGGTGTTTTCCTCTTTTACAAAGTTCCTTCCCCAACCCTCTAATGTAACTCCACAGGCATATATATATACACACACACACACGTGTGTGTGTGTGTGTGTGTGTGTGTGTGTGTGTGTGTATTTTTTTTTACTTTTCCTGACTTGGACTTCATGCAAAATATAGCTTCTTAACTACTAACCAATCAAGAGACCAGCTTCCTACCTAGTGCCATGTGCCATCCATGACATTTCTGACAAATGATATTCTGGCACCTGTTTAAAAATCTCCACTGATGGGAAGCTTTCTACTTCCATTCCACAGAGGCAAAACTGCCTCAATGCCTGGTACTAGAGGGGTCCACGACCAACTCTTATACTCCTAACTAACAAACTAAAA